CTTATTCAGAGGGCTTTAAAAACAATTATGTTTTTTTTTTTTTTTTTTAATGCAGGAGTGTCTGTCTGTATGTACACCTGCATGTCAGAAGAGGGCATCAGACCCCTTTTGGTCATGAGCCACCATGTGGTTGCTGGGACTCAAAGTCAGGACCTCTGGATGAGCAGTTTTCTTAACAGCTAAGCCTCCTTACCAGCTTTCCACTGCCCTCATTTTAAAATTTACTTCTGCCACCTTTGAAAGACCTTAGAAACAGAGGCTAAGCTGTGCCCAAGAGCAGAGACTCTGCCTCAAGACTGCAACCTAGAAGCCTTGCTTGAATCTCCCTCCTACAGGCCTGTAGCTGAGACTCAAAACTCTATTACCTCTTCACCAAATCTCCAAGCTGCCATATGGGTATATGGACAGACATGGGTAGAAAATATAATTTCTTGCCCTACCTGGGTTTCTACAGGTTCTGTTTCTATGGAAAGCCTACACTAGATAGGGAAGAAGCCACGAGTGGACACAGAAGATGGCTGTCAATACAACAACAGGTCTGGAGAAAGACCTTGGAGCAAGAGCGGCAAGGGGCCATGATAGCTGAAATGAACTAAGCAAGGGCCAGAGCTCAGTGGTTAAGGTCAGCAGGGCAGCAAAGCAATCACACAGTACTCTACAGGCCTTGACGAACATTCCGCCCTCACTGACATGGGCACTTTCACTCGGCTTCTGTAGAAACTCACTGGCTGTTGTGTTGCTGGGTAGAGGGTAGAAGGTGGAGGATGAGCTAAAAGGATGGAACAATTACTCAACTGAAGCAGTGATGATTGAACTAAAATACAAGAGGAAGAATGGTAACAACTGTCATTTTGTGGAAATATCTCAAAGGGAGAAGCCAGCAGAGAGTGCGGCGGCTTGTGCCTATAGTCTCAGCACACCAGAAGCTGAGGCAGAGGGCTAGGTTTTTCACTGAGGTTACCCTTGGCTACAGTGAGATCCTGTCTGAAAAGATAAATAGCAAAACAAGTTCCTAATAAATTTCACATAAAACCTGCGAAACAAGTCAAATATAATGCCATGCTTTCTCTCTCTCTCTCCTTTTTTTTTTTTTTTTTTTTTGCATGATTACCAGGAAAAATGTCAGTACTCAGATCTGTTCTACTCTGACCAACTGACCATCTGTCCCCTTCTTCCTGCATAGACAAACCCATGGATCTGTTTTCTTGGTCATAACAACCTTTCATAGATTAGAGACAGAATTTTATCACTTATCATGGGCCCTCCCAAATAATATATTAGCTGTACTGGCATATAGGAACGCTTCTGTCTTGTTTTAGTCCAGGGCAATTGTATTTTTATGGCTATATCGTAAGTACTTGGGATAGTGCTTGCTTATAGCAGTGGATGTCCAGTAAATATTGTTCAATAAATGTGAAGATCAAAAATGAAATATTTTGCACACTAATGCACATTGAAAAAGTAAATACTTAGCTACAGATCTTTCCAACGTGGCCAATATTTCCCTACTTTTTAATTGCCCCTTGGCTAAAATACCAAAAATCAATGTCTCTATTTCTTGACACAAAATTCTGTCCTATGGGCAGAGTGCAGGGAATCTTATGAAAGAAGGGGGAGATAGGAGGACCTGGCGGGGACAGGAGCTCCACAAGGAGAGCAACAGAACCAAGAAATCTGGGCCAGGGGTCTTTTCTGAGACTGATACTTCAACCAAGGACCATGCATGGAGATAACCTAGAACTGCTGCACTGATGTAGCCCATGGCAGCTCAGTGTCCAAGTGGGTTCCATAGTAAGGGAAACAGGGACTGTCCCTGACATGAACTCAGTGGCTGGCTCTTTGATCACCTCCCTCTGATGGGGGAGCAGCTTTACCAGGCCACAGAGGAGGACAATGCAGCCAGTTCTGATGAGACCTGATAGGCTAGTGTCAGAAGGGGGTAGGAGGACCTCCCCTATCAGTGAAGTTGGGGAGGGGCATAGGAGATGAGGGAAGGAAGGTGGGATTGGGAGGAAATGAGGGAGGGGGCTACAGCTATGATACAAAGTGAATAAACTGAAATTAATAAAAAAATAAATTTAAAAAATGCCAAAAAAGAAATTCAATATGCATTAAATATAAATTAAAGTTGAAATTCTGAAGAGGTAAAAAAAATTCTGTCCTATTGTTTTGTTGTTACTATACAGTTTAGACTACCCTGGAAAGTATGGACGATGTTCCTGATTGCAGACTGGTAATAAATCACTAGTTTGCACTTATCAGACTAAGGAGGTAGCAAATGTAGGGAGCACGTTGCCTCTGGAGCCCAGGGTGGGGCCTGGGACTATCTGTTCATGCAGTAGCTCTGTGACATGAAGTGTGTACTCTCCCAAAGCCTCAACCTCTTCTACAGCACCCATGCTACCAACTGCCCTCGTGGCTCACAGAGTAATCAAAGAAGCATTGACCAGCAGGGTCGGTGTGTTGATGAATTAGTCTTTCCAGTATTAATCTGAGGGCTTTGGTTCGGTCTACTCAAAGTGGAGAACGATGAAACCTGTTCTACATGCTATATCAATGATTCTGCTGAAATGTGCTACAGTTTTGAAGCCTTTCACTCTTCTAATCACGTTTCACTTTTCTCTCCATATGTTTCCCAATAAATCACATCTCAACTGAGACCACTGGACTGTCTCAGAGGGAAGCCTTCTTGGTCATTGCTGATCCAATCCTACGACTCAGGCCAGGACTTGGAAAAATGCATTCTTTGTAGAAATGAACTGGAGAACCAATCTGAGACTTTCCTTTTTTTCTGTAGCCATCTAGAACACCATTTAAACTGTACTGAAAAGCAATCATGTATATCCAGGCCTCTGGGGGAACAAGTCCAATTTATAACTGGGTAGCAGTAAGGTTATATCCAGACATCCCTCTGGATTCTTTCCTAGCCTTTGGCCTACCAGAAAGGCAACCAAGCTTCCAGGTTCAGTACTTGCCTAGCATTTAAGGTAAGCCTGTTTAATCTCTGAAGTTTCCAGTAGCTTGAAACTGCTGGATTTCTATGTAGTGAATTACACAATGCACTCTCTGGACTGGTTTAGCATCTCTGTCAGTGTCTAGAGGAGAGCAAGAAGGCGTTTCCCTTCAATCCTGCTCTGTACATGAGCATTGCTCTTCAGCCTCTCCGTCACAGCATTTCATAAGGTCAGTCACCTGGAGATTCTCGCTCTACAGAGCTGCCTCACATTGAACAACCTACCACCGACTCTATTGCCCAATTTGATTGGTTTATCTCCTTTTCTCTCCAATATCTCAATCTGTTGTCTAGCATTAAATTTAGATAGGCAGAGTATTAGCACTCTGAAAATCTCATATAATCATAAATATATTTTTTCTTCGCATAAGTACAAAATGTAAATGTTAGAGACAGTATATGAAACATATTTCCAAAGATGTAGAAATTCACTGTCTTGGGTTAGATGGACAGAGATATTCCCATTCAGTAGTAAATGTTTGTGAATGTTTGTATACATTGTAACAGGAACTTTCTCCAGATGTAATTGTTCTTTCAAATGCTTACTGCCTCTAGTCTTCTATCCTAGGCCTAGTCCTGGGAGCTTCTAGCCTCAGCAGACTGACTTTTAAATATGCTCACACTTTCTAGCTCTTTCTGAGTTGTGGTTGGCTGGTTCAATGCAGCTGTTCTGGTTCAAACTCCTCTCCACGCTGACTGATTCAACCTGGCTCCTCTCAGGTTCTGAATGAACTGATTTGCTTAGTTTCATATTAACTTTAGCAAGATATTCCAGTCTGGCTAGTTCTCATTCTCTGGCTTGTCTATATTAACCTGATTTGCAGCATTGTCTGCCTCCCAATTAGACAACACTTTCAAAACCTGGGTGCTTCCTTCTACAAACTAATTTTACCTTCATTGTCTGAAATTAAAGGTGTGTACCTAGGGCATGCCTATATTCTAGCCAGAGGGATTAGGGCAATGTCTGCATTCCAGCCAGATCATTTAGACCTGGGGCTTGAGATGTGATCCCTTGCCACAACAGTCATGTTTCTGGATTAAAATTCCTCTACAATACATGTCAGATAAGAAAGAGGTGGGAGGAAGGAGGGAGGGCAGGGTGGGGAAGAGAGAGACAAGGAAAGCACTAAGGGTCATGGAGGGGAGGGGAAGAAGAAAAGGAGGAAGAAAGGGAGATGGGGGAGGGAGGGATGGAAAGGTAGAGAGGGGGAGATACTTTACTACCACATACTCAGTTTTTTAATTCAGCAGAAAGAAAAAGAAAGGAAGTCCCAACTCATAGCAATGTCACTGTAATGCTATTGAATCAAAATTTTTATATCAATGAAGTAAATTAATCTGTCAATTCATACCAAAGAATAGCTTTGATCATTAAGATGCACTTTTACAAACACCCAAATTATTACAAAGTAACTCAATTATTTTTTCAAATAGATTTCTGTTCTTGGAAACAGTGGTTACACAAGTAAAATCACTAGCATTCTAACAAAACACACACACACACACACCTTATCTGTCAGATTCTGTATTATACATTTCAAATTATAATTTGGACAGTCAATCATTTCTATCAAATATTAGTAGACACCACACTATTTTTTTGCCAAGCAGTGTGCTTGGAATTTTGGAATTCATATGATCTTAAAAAAGAATTTTCTCTCTGATTATATTTTTCTTGGAACAATATTAAAACTTTTCCAGATCTAGTTAGCAGTTAGAATAAAAACAGATTCTTTTAAATTATTACAAAAGTTATCATTGAACTTGGACAACTCACATATAAAGCATAGAAACCCCAGGTAAGATAGCATACTATTTTTAGAAAATGTGAATTCAGATATTTCGAAGTAGGAGGTTATTAAAATATAGAGAAGCAAAGAACAGCTCATGCTGGGTGTGTCTGGCCATGTCATCTTTGCCATTTTGGTGGACAGACATTCAGATAAGTAAAGACATGTGACATAACATGTTAGCATGCAGAAGGTACCTTTGCCATTTTCTCTGCCAGCTGCAGGCGGCCATCCAGCTCCCTCCTGATCTGGGCTGCTTGCTCATCTGCATTATCCAGCTTAAAAGGAAAAGAAGTGCGTGAGTGTGTACAAATGGTAACTTGGCGGCATGAAAACAAAGACTAAACAACGAAAAAAGGCAAATCCCCCCAACCACCTATACAGAAGGTCGCTTGATTCCACTGTAACCCACCCAATCATATTACTTTCATGGGGTTTCAGTCACAAAAAGTTAAATCTGAAGGATTCAATAGCTCGATTTATTAAGAAAAGCAATTATGGCAATAACTCCAGGCATAATATGTTTGCAACAAATCTAAACAAGAAGTTTCTGTTTCCCTGAGGTCACCATGACTCATCAAGTTTGTTCATCCCATTCTCCAAATTTGCAAGGTCATCCCTTAGCTCCTCAGCACTGAGGAATTTCTTCATTTGTTCTCTTTTGGATGACAAGATGACAATTGATATCTCATTTCTTATTTTCTATTTTTAAAAGTATCTCTTCATTTTTTTGTTTGTACTAATGATAAACAATTAAAGTGCTACTTGAATGACAACTTTCTACCATTTAAGTCTGTACCCATTGCTCATTCTAGTGAAAATACTTAGGTTGCTAAGAAATGTTTCCACACTTCTACAGATAGGTACTACATTAAGAGATCCATTACATTGTTTTAAATTTGATAGAAGGTAAGTAAATATGCAATCGTTATCTTTCAAAAATTACCCATTGGTATGGAAAATTATTTTCTTTTTTTAAATTTTTTATTTAACTTTTATTAATTACACTTTATTCATTTTGTGTCCCCCCATAAGCCCCTTCCTCCTCCCCTCCTAATTCTTCCTTCCCTCCCCCTTCTTCACACATGCCCTTTCCCAAGTCCACTGATAGGGGAGGTCCTCCTCTCCTTCTTTCTGATCTTAGTCTATCAGTTCTCATCAGAAGTGGCTGCACTGTCATCTTCTGTGGCCTGGTAAGGCTGCTCCCCCCTCAGGGGGAGGTGATCAAAGAGCAGGCCAATCAGATTATGTCAGAGGCAGTCCCTCTTCCCATTACTATGTAACCCACTTGGACACTGAACTGCCATGGGTTACATCTGTGCAGGGGTTCTAGGTTATCTCCATGAATAGTCCTTGGTTGGAGTATGAGTCTCTGGGAAGTTCCCTGTGTTCAAATTTTCTTGTTCTATTGCTCTCCTTGTGGAGTTCCTGTCCTCTCCAGCTCTTACTATTTCCCACTTCTTACATAAAATTCCATTCACTCTGCCTGACAGTTGCCCCTCAACTGAAGAATGGATGCAGAAATTGTGGTACATCTATACAATGGAGTATTACTCAGCAATGAAAAATAAGGAAATCATGAAATTTGTAGGTAAATGGTGGGACCCGGAAAGGATCATCCTGAGTGAGCTGTCCCAGAAGCAGAAAGACACACGGTTTATATTCACTCATATAGACATACAACATAGGATAAACCCACTAAAATCTGTACATCTAAAGAAACTAAGCAAGAGAGAGGACCTTAACTAAAATGTTCAATCCCCATCCTAAAAGGCAAAGAGGATGGACATCAGAAGAAGAAGAAAACAGGAAACAACCTAGGAACCTGCCACAGAGGGCCTCTGAAAGCCTCTGCCCTGCAGACTATCAAAGCAGATGCTGAGCCTGATGGAAAATTATTTTCATTCTTAATTTTTACTACATGTTCTAATGCTCCCTCCTTCCCATTTTTAATCTCTTATTAGTCTATTATATGATATTAAACTGGTGATATTAAATGTTAAATTCCTTCTCATTTCAATCCACGCTCCTTTTCTATACTCATCAAGAAGCTAGACCAAAGGGTATAACTATATTTTATAATAACTTACAATATTTAATTATTAATATGTTTGTTTCTGTGAAATATGCCACAAGTGTTTATGGAGGCCAGAAGAGGGTGTTGAATCCCATGGAACTGAAGTTGCAGATGGCTGTAAGTACTGGCATTTATTGATTTATTCAAGGGGGGGAAAACCACAATAGAAAGGCAATTTGCATCTAAAGGAGTCATAGGCCTTCCTCTAAGAACTTTAGTCTATTAAGAAACCACAAAATTCTTCAAATTTTACAAGAATAGTACTTAGACCATCAAAGAGATATCTCTGGATTAGCAATTTATTTAAAACTTAAGAAGAGTTGTTACAGTCATTTCTGAATTTTAATGGAGTTTATTCTGTAAGAGATATTTAACTACTGTAAAAATATCAATGGCTTAACTTCATTTGTCTGAAGTAGGCAAAGAAAAAAATTGCTGCACCGAACTTCTCCATTGCAAAGCCAAGATCTCAGAGATGAAGAGCCCTGACTTTAGTGACTACCACTGCCATCTTGTAAATAATAACATATCATATTCTTGAACACATGTACAAATAAATGCTGGGAACAAAATGTAATAAAGAAATTAGGCAAAATTTTAAGGGCTTTTCCATGTTTTCAAAACCTCATATGAGATTTAAGGAGCAAATTATATTGCCTGTTTTTCAACATGTGAGAATCTTTGACTAATGTTCCATATTTCCTCTTATTTTGAATACTTCTGTCTATAATATACTTCTTGATAAAGTGGATATACTTTTCTTCTCTCTTCCCACTCCTCATTTCTCTTTTTCTCTGAGAAACAATTTCTGTATGTTGACCAAACTGGCTTCTGACTCATGAACTAAAATGGTCTCCCCTCCCCCATTTCTCTCGTGAGTGCTGGGATTAACAGATATGCACTACTATGCCAACTTAATCTAAAGTGGTACTTTTTCACTTGAGGAAGCTGTAGATTTGTAGGCTAACAAGGAAAAAGAAGGGAATCCATTGTACCTTTCCCCAGGGTACTGAATATGATAAAAACCACCCATCTCATTCAGATTTCTTTGGGATAAGATGTCTTACATAGGTCTCTCTATCTGCACTGAAGAGCTTCGGGTCTGAAACCTTTGCTCTGATATCTGAGAGTGCCCGAGTGCCCCTTGAATACTCATGCTCAAAAGTAGCATCAGTGGCTGAAAACTTGACATGCCATAGGACATTCAGACTTACCCTTACATAAAGAAAAGATACATGGAATTTAATGAGGAGATGAATCTCATGTCTTAAATTCTTACTTTAAGCACTCATGAATAATGCCATGTTATAAGTGGTGAATCACCTATCCAATTCCTGAAGCCCCAAGGAGAGTGGTCATCTTTGACCTCTCTTTCCTAAACAGCTCCAACCCAGTCTACCTACAGTCATACAGAATTAAGATCTAGCGCTATGCAGTCGAAGCCTTGGCAATCCAGACTTGTGCTTAGTACTTCGCCAGATCTCTTTTTGCACATGAATAATATGTATACACATGTGTGTGAACACATATCAAGCCCATTAAACATATCTCGTTTGCTAATTCAGCTATGAATATTTCTAAATAAAACATAATTAAGAATAAGAGGGAAGGGGGAGGTGCCCCAGTGACTAATGTGCCTGTATGAAGGCCCGAGTTCAGATCCCCAGCATAGACACGAAGAGCCACGTGTGGGATGTAATGAATCACATATGTAATCCTAGAACTGGGCAGAGGATTACTGAGGTTGCCTGGGGAACCATGTAAGCTAAGAACTGACATCAACTCCTGGCCTCCACACGTGTCCACACATGTATATCACACAGAGAAGTACATGCACACACATATAAACACATTATCAAAAAGGGAGTAAAAGAAAAAAAATAATTTCTTTGTGCCTTGAATCCTCAGTGCAATCAAATCAAGTGATTTTGTACACACACGAAGGCAGTATGATATTCAGGAGAAAGGAATGCCTGCGTGGATAAATTACAGAAGCGGGCATTTGAAGTGGTTGTTGAGATGGCAGTCCCTATCAGGGCCCGTAGCTGTTGACTCAGAGGGCTGCAGCAGGGATCACAGGCAGGTCTTCATTTCAGCAGCACACCCTCTATTGCAATTTCATTTCCTCTAGGTTTATGATTTCAATATTGCATATGACAGAGGATTGCTTACCTCACAGATCTCTTCAATGCACTGGGAATGGGGCCTTTAAAGGATGTCATTCAACCCTGGCCATGACAGATGCACAAACGTGCCTCTCATCTCAGCAATGCCTCAAATTTGTGTCACATACACATCTAATAACTTCAAGTTTCGAAGCATTTCCTAGCTTGACACATATTGTGAAAAACTGTACTTTGTTTTTGTTCACCTTCACTGCTTTGGGAATACTATTTCCCCATTCAGAATTCTCTGGGTTGAGAATTCTTATCTTGACCCTTCAGGAGGTTGTGACCCTGTTGAAAACTGTAGGCAGGATTTTTCCCCCAATAGAACTGCCTGGATTTGATAGCTTACCCACAGTTCTCAAAGAGATGGCTCATTCAAAGGTAGTAAAGAAACAGCTACTCCATCCGTGCTTCTGTGCATGGACAGAAGGCCCTTGTCTTTTATGCTGAGAAGCTGTCTGATCTCTGGAACTTAACCCACAAAAGCAGCCCTCTCACCTCACAGACCACCAACCCGCACTTACTAAGTTTTCTGTGAGGGCATCATCTCCTAAGCTCTTCCTTATGCTGAGCCACACACAGTCCTGTTACTTCTGTGAACATTCTCAACACTGTGGAGCAAGCCAGGCTGTAGATTTAGCCCTTATAAACTAGCAGTTTCCTACATACTTTTAATAACGAAGTCTTAGTAAGGAGAGCAGGGGCCTTCTCTGTCATGAACTCGGTGGCTGAATCTTTGATCACCACCCCCTGCGGGGTGCAGCTTTGCCAGGCCACACTGGATGGCAAAGCAGCCAGTCCTAATGAGACCTAATAGGCTAGGGTCAGAAGGAAGGGAAGGAGGACCTTCCCATATCAGTGGACTAGGGGAGGGGCATAAAGGGAAGTAGATGGGAGGGTGAGCACAGGAGGAGACGAGGGAGGGGACTACATCTGGGATACAAAGTGAATACATTTTTATAAATATTAAATAAAAAGAAAAATAATCGGAACCAAAAATAAATCTTAGGACTTTTAATAATGAAGTAAAAAT